AGAAAAGAAAAGTGATATACATAGCACAGAGCTTTTACATATTAGATGCTCAATAAGTATTTCTTCTCTTGTCTTCTCCTTTCCCCTCACTGATGTACTTTTTGAAAGTACTTATGCCCGAAACTGGTTTGGCTCAGTAGAGAGAGCGTCAGCCTGCGGACTGTAGGGTCCCCAAGTTCGATTTCGGTCAGGGGCATGTACCTTGGTTGCGGGCACATCCCCAATAGGGCATGTGCAAGAGACAGCTGTTCGATGATTCTCTCTCATGTTTCTAACTCTCTATTTCTCTCTTCCTTTCTGTAAAAAATCAATAAAATATATATATATTTTTAAAAAGTACTTATGTACGCTGTTTCCACTTACTCATTCCAGCTGATTATGGTCTGTGTGTTCATATTACTGACCTCACCATGGTCCGAAAGAAAGTCTCCATGGCCAGCTGCAGTGAACACCTTTTTGGGCTTCATTTTAATGGGCCCACTGTGTCATAAGTTACCCATCTCTCTGTCCTTTAAATGTTCTCTTTTCTTGTCCTCCGTAGTATCTTTGTCTGTGGGGCCCCTTTAGATTTCTTGGACATCAGTCTCAGCCTTCTTTTTTAAATTTTCTTTTTTTCATATGTTTGTGTCGCAAGGGTCTCCGTATATAGCACTCTTCTCCTTCAACATGCCTTGCCTATTATACACTTAAAGCCACCTAGCACCTGTACATCAGGAACTACCAGAGATGTTTGTTCTAGCCTCAAGCTCTCTTCTAGATGATGTACCTAATATTCACCACTTGGTGGAGAACCCCTGGGTTCTTCTTGACTGCCTTAAGTATTATTTTCTCTTCCAACACTATCCCTTCATGTTTAATATCATCAACATTTTTTCACAACTACCAAAATTAGAAACTGAAATTATTCGTCCTCCAATCAAGTCTAGTAAACAGGTTACTTGATATTATCTCCTAAATCAGTTTGTCACTGAGATTTAAATTATGTCCTAGCTCTGCCCCTGATTATGTCCTAGCTCTGCCCCTGATTAGCCCCTGATTAGTACCTCTGAAAAATTACTCCTTCTGGGCCTCAGTTTATCTTATCTCTGAAAATGTTTGGTGCAGATCAGAGGTCGGCAACTAGGGCCTAGCGTTCAAATACAGTCTTCTGCCCATTTTTGTAATAAATTTATGTTGATGGCTGCTTTGTGCTACCATGACAGAGTTAAGTAGTGACAGAAGCTATATGGTCCACAAAGCCTAAAGTAATATTTTAAAGCTCTTTATATTAAAAGTTTGCTGACCTAGAGACCAGAGGTTCTCACCTGTAGTTCCCATTTCAGCCTGGCGAAAACCTGATTTTAAGATTATAAAAAATAAGAAGAAAAAGATTAGGAAAACTGATTACAGTAGTTTAATATTTGGCAAGAAAAATTAGAACAAATTATAACGTTAGAATTTATATTTCCTGATCTAATAGCCTTAGTAATTCAAGAACAGAAATAAAAATTTCTGTTGCCACTTGATGGTGACAGGATAATTTATTTGGTTAAATGACTTTTAATTGATAGTGAATAAATCAATTATTTCACTTATTAACTTGTAATTAGCATCTTAAGTCACAAAACCGATTTTGAAAGTGGAGAATACAGTTAGTTAAACTCTAATAATTAATTAGAAGTATAATTAAGAGTCTTTTTTATATGATCACTATTCATCAAAGCAGATTATTTCCATTCTGATAAAAGATTTTCCATATGAAAGCACTAGTGAATATTGAAGGGGCATTATAAGTATGTAAAAATGCTTAGATAAAAATATAAATCTAGCACCCATTTCAGTTTCTAATTTTGATAGTTGTAAAAAAATGTTGATGATATTATGAAGGAATAGTGTTGGAAGAGAAAATAATATTTAAGACACTCAAGAAGAACCCAGGGGAGTTCTCCACCAAGTGTAAATATTAGGTACATAATGAAGACCTTATATGTAGGGCCATCCAATAGCATACTCAAAAAGCAAAAACTGCAAATGTTTCCCTTAAGATTGGGAATAAGACAGGGATGTCCACTTTCACCACTCTTATTCAACATAATACTGGAAGTCCTAGCCACAGCAATTAGGCAAGAAGAAATAAAAGGCATCCAAATTAGAAAGGAAGAAGTAAAACTATCATTATTTGCAGGTGACATGTTATTAGAGAGAACCCTAAAGATTCCACCTAAGTACTACCTTAATTGACAAATTAACTCAGTAAAGTAGCAGGATACAAAATATCCAGAAATCAGTTGCATTTTTATACACCCATATTGAACTATCAGGGAAACTAAGAAAACACTCCCATTTCCAATTGTATCAAAAATAAAATGAAATACCTAGGAATAAATTTAACCAAGGATGTAAAAGACCTGTACTCAGAATGTTATAAGGCACTGAGGAAAGAAAAGAAGATACAAATAAGTGGAAGCATGTAACATGTTCATAGATAGGAATTAACATCATTAAAATGTCCATACTATCCAAAGCAATCTGTAGGTTCAGTGCAATTCCTATCAAGATACCAGTGAACTAGAACAAATATTTTAGAACTGTATAGAACTACAAAAGCCCCAGAATAGTCCTAACTGGTTTGGCTCAGTGGGTAGAGCGCCAGCCTGTGGACTGAAGGGTTCCAGGTTCAATTACGGTCAAGAACACATGCCCTGGCTGTGGGCTTGATCCCCAGTAGGAGGTGTATAGGAGGCAGCCAATCAATGATTTTCATCATTGATGTTTTTATCTCTCTCTACCTCTCTCTCTCTGAAATCAATACAAATGTATTTAACAAATAATAAAATAAAAACAAAACAGAGACCCAGAATAGCCACAGCAGTCTTGAGAAAGAACAAAATATTTGATATCAAACTATACTACAAGGCCATAGTGATCAAAACAGTATTGTACTGGCATAAAAACAGACATATAGATTAATGGAACCAAATGGAGAGCCCAGAATAAACCAATGCCTTTATAGTCAATTAATATTTGGCAAAGTAAACAAGAACATAATATTGAAGACTATCTTCAATAGTCTAGTCCAGTGGTTGGCAATTCATTAGTCAACAGAGCGGCAATCCACCTCTCAAGCCGCAATTTGCCGACCACTGGTCTAATCAACAAATGGTGCTGGAAAAATTGGACAGATATGTACAAAAAAAGTGAAACTAGATCACCTTACATCATATATAAGAATAAACTCAAAGTAAATACTTAAATATCATGTGGGTGCCTCTTCCTGGCCCTGGTGCTTGGAGTTGGGGAGCCCAACTTGGGGTTTTGACCTCACATTTATCGGGGGTTCCCCCATAGTTGAAATATCCCTCCAGAATCTCAGCTGCCACCAGAAGGCAGGGCCAACCCTTTTCTCATCTCCGCCCTTCTTGCCAGTCTCAGTGTAGCTTCTTCTATAAATCTTTGGTTATAAGACTTCTCTTCATCTAGTCTGCAGTTGGTTATTCGGATGATTGTTCCATAATGTGTGTGTGTGTGTGTGTGTGTGTGTGTGTGTGTGTGTGTGTGTGTGTATTATAATTTAGTTGTAATTCCAGTTTGGTCCTACTCTACCACCATCTTGGATCATCATCTTGTTTTTTAATAGAGTCTTCTAGATTTAAGTCCTTTATGGAATATATGTTTTAGTCTGTAGCTTGGCTTTTGATTTCTTAAGAGTGTCTTTTGAAGAATAACACTTTGAAGATTTTGATTAAGGCCTGAAAGTTTTAAAGGAGTCTAGAGTATCAGAATAACAACAAAAAACAAAACAAAACTTTATTTCTTACTTCGCTCTGATTATTCACTGCTTGGCACCAGAAATCAAGTATGTATTGTACATTCCACTTTTTTTGTGCCGTTGTCCTGTATTGTAAATGTCTTAATATTTCAACGAAATTGTTTTGTACTAGGCCATAAAGTTTATAAAGATGAGTTATAGATGTCATTTTTTTTCAGAGTGCTCATTTTTAGTATTCAGTGTTTCTTCCCATCATCTGTTTGTGGAGCCAGGACAATATATTTTCCTTTGTTCAGTCCTGAATGCAGCTTGTACTTACACTTTTTCCACACAGAAATATGTAATTTCATCATGCAAGAAATTTATTGGCCTTTTTTTTTTTTTATTATCTTCCATATATCATAGCATAGTTCTTTATACACAAGGGACAATCACTAAATATTCAGTGATTAAGTGGAATTACTGATGACCATGGTTAAGTATGGCTTTCCCAATTATCCTATAAAATAAAAGGCTAGTATGCAAATCAACCGAACATAACGACCAGACGCTATGACACACACTGACCACCAGGGGACAGACGGTCAACAAAGGAGCTGCCCCCTGATGGTCAGTGTGCTCCCACAGGGGGAGCACCGCTCAACCAGAAGCCTTGAACCAGGCACACGGCTATTGAGTGCAGCGGTGATGATGGGAGCCTCTCCTGCCTCCGCTGCAGCATTAAGGATGTCCAACTGACAGCTTAGGCCCACTCCCCGCAGTCGGACACCACTGAGGGCTCTCGAGAGGATGTAGGCTGGGCTGAGGGGCACCCCCCACACACCCTGAGTGCACGGTCCTACTTGATAATAAAACTTTGGACTATACTTGACTAAATGAATAAGAGCTATTCTTATTTCAGATGCCATCGTTACAATAGCTTGTTTTCTAGATAGAATAAAGATGCCTGGTTATTACTTAAGTATTTTTGAGTGATCATTTTTTACAACACTGATATAACATCATCGTCATCATTATTATTGTAAAAGCCTGTTGTTGTTGTTGTTGTTGTTGTTATAATTAAAAGCCTGTGTAGGGTAGAATAACGTAAGTCAATAAATGAAACATTTTTTACAAAGTTTGCTCTATTTAATAAGTTTTGTATTTTATAACTTTGGAATTCCTTTTCCAATGAAACCAATACATTGAAACATAAATGTTATATTTGTAAATATGTAGAAAGTTATGGTAATAACGTGTTTTCTCTGTCTAGGTTCTGGGGACACCAACAAGGGAGCAAATTAGAGAAATGAACCCAAACTACACAGAATTCAAATTTCCTCAAATTAAGGCACATCCTTGGACTAAGGTGAGTCAAGTAGAGTTTTTATAAAAGCACATTAACAAGTTAACTAAAACTTGGGTTTTTTATTGTTCTTAAACTAAACTATTTTGAGACTAAATAGCTACCTGAGTACAAAGTACACAGCAGTTCTGCATGTAAAGATAGTTGGGTAGTTGTACTTCAGTATTTCATTGACTACAGATAGTTTTGTCTCCATTGATTTCCAGTAAATTGTTTCCATCCAGGATTTTATTTGTAAGATGAGGACAGTGTAGTTATATCATTAAGATATATAATTTTATAGGAGCAAAATTCTTGTATAAATTTTGACTACTTGAAATTCAGAAGTTAATTTATCTACATAGTTAGAGTTGCTTATTAGTTTTGTATCATACACTATTGAAAACATTTCATATATTCCTTTTATAAACTATTAATATAGAGACATTATAGATGATAATGGTATGTTTTTCTTCTCTTATTTACTTTCCTATTGGTATTTTGGGAGCGAGGATAAAAAGCAGGTTTGATCTTGCTAGGAGTATACATTGAAAGCAATAGATGTTAAACTGGATGTCACTAGCTATTGGAAAAATCCAATCTCAATATTAGATGGAACCATCTTAAGTTAGTAAGAGCTTTAAATTCTAACTTACTGAAAAAATGTTATTTTTTGCTTTGACACTTATTAGAAATTATTTTTAAGAGAGTTTTTTTTATTAACAGTGTTGTTTTTTTTAACCTCATTTTAATTTTTGAGATTAAGTGTGCAAGAAAAAACATAGGATGTCTCCATTGGTTTTAGATATTTTATAAATGAGATGAAGTAATTTAGGGCTGAAGTTGAAATACCTTCCCAGATTCAAAGTATGTGTCTTTCTCTCACTAAACTGTATTATAATTCCAGTTGCTTTCCTTCAAGTTCTCATAATCACAATACCACTCTTCACTTCAAAAAATCCTCTTGTTACTGATTATGTTATTTAGACTCAAAGACCTCAGTAGTATTTTAGTGCCAAAATTATAGGCTATAGCTTTCACTGACCAAGATGTTACCTATCTCCCCCCCCCCCACACACACACACTCTTATTAATTTATAACAAACACTAAATATTCTGAGATAAAACATTCTTTTGTCTTTGTAATTAAAGTTTATTTTGAATCTGGGTCAGAAGATATCTAGGGTCTCTCACCTGACTCTAAATTTAGAGAGTCCCAGGTGGTCTCTGGGTTTAAAAGCTGAGTTGAATCCAGGAAAATTATTCCAAGTTAAAATGCTTATAAAGTAGTTTGTAGTGTACTCAGATTTCAGCCATGTTAAAGAAAAACAAAGAAGAATTCTGTCTATTGAGGGCAGGTGCATAATCCAAAATGGTAATAGTAGTTTAGGTGAGAAGAGTATGGGTGATTTTTTTCTTTTTCTGCATTTCCATATTTTCTTTAATCAGGATTTTTTATGAAGAAAATTAACCTTAATATAAGGTTTCTAAGCAATATAATGCTGAAATTGAGGTTATGAAATCTTATCAATCCTGTCCTCATTTTTTTAAAATCAAGACTTCCACACCAGTGTTAGTATGTGTCACATTCTGCACTTTTCCCCTATATTATAGCTTCTCAATTCAAATATTAGCCAGGATGGAATGTGAGGAATGATTGATTATAATTAAAATGCAGCCAACAGAAGATTTGTCATGACTTTATTTGCTTTATCCCTTCCTTTGCCCTTGTGGGTTCCGAATGTTTCTATCTTACATTAATGTTTTTCAAACTTTAATAATCTATATAAAGCCAACCCTTTTATTTGTTTTATTTAGCTTTCCATTCTATACTATGTGTAGAATAATGACTCAGTTTCCCCCATTTTGTCTATTCAAACTACTGTGAATTCTTCATTCATATAGTGTGCCTTGACATAATTTGGATTCATTTGATACAAATGCATTTATTATGTAATAGGATACTTAGGTTAATTTCTCTTTAGTGCACATAACTAGGTTGGTGTTACCTTAGTAACAAATTCAGATACAGAAATTTTATGACATTGCTCTATCATCTAGATAAATCTAGATAATCCAGGATATTCTTATATTGATTTTCAAAAGTAGATTATTATCGATATTAAAACACAAAATTTGCCGAAACCGGTTTGGCTCAGTGGTAGAGCTTCGGTCTGTGGTCTGAAAGGTCCCAGTTCGATTCCGGTCAGGGGCATGTACGTTGATTGCGGGCACATCCCCAGTAGGGGGTGTGCAGGAGGCAGCTGGTCGATGTTTCTCTCTCATCGACATTTCTAGCTCTCTATCTCTCTCCCTTCCTCTCTGTAAATAAATCAATAAAATATATTATAAATAAATAAATAAATAAGTAAAACACAAAATTTTAAGTTTTTAGAGGAAGTCTGTCCCTTCTATTCTCCATTTTGATAGTAGACACCAACTTGATAAGTGCTCTCCCACTATGCAGCCTATGTAGTTAATAGTATTTTTTAATGCATTAATACACATTAATGTATTTAAAAAATACAGTTTTCTAAAGAGAAGAGTTTCTTGTCCTTAGAGGTCAGGTAAATACAGTCTGGAAACAAAAGCTGCTTTGTTAGAATGCACTTTAGCCCTATTTCCTGAAGCTTGTGGATATCTTGGTTCCTTGTGCTGCAGTATAGTACAGCTATCTCACCAGGATTTGGAGCTAGTATTCTAAATAAAAAGTAGGTAGAGCCGAAACCGGTTTGGCTCAATGGATAGAGCCTCGGCTTGGGGACTGAAGGGACCCGGGTTCGATTCTGGTCAAGGGCATGTACCGTGGTTGTGGGCATATCCCCAGTAGGGGGTGTGCAAGAGGCAGCTGATCGATGACTCTCATCGATGTTTCTAACTCTCTCTCTCTCTCTCTCTCTCTCTCTCTCCCCTTCCTCTTTGTACAGAATCAATAAAATATATATTTTTTTAAAAAGTGGGTAGATATAAAAATCAAGAGAGAAAATATCTTCCATGGGAACCCTGAGGTGAGAGGTTCAGATATGTAGGAAAGATAACAAAAGAACAAGACCACGAGATGATCACGGTGTGTTATATGGCAGGAATCTTGAGAATTTAGAAATCCAGTAAGTTGCCCTTGCCTATTACTTTATAGCCAGAGCAACCTAATTCATTGAGAAAGCATTTGTGGTTTAAGTAGGAAATAGGAAAAAAAAAAAATAGGTGCTAATGTTTTTAAATAGGGATATTCTTGGTAGTGGGAGTGAGAAAGATAAAGACCTCAGCAGTGGTGTTTGCTGTACACATCAAACAGTAAAAGCCAGATGGGAAGACAAAAGAAATGATGCAAAGTAGACTGAGAATTAAGTAGAAATGGAAATTGTTTGGAAGAAGAGAGTAAGCTTAAATTCTGCATTTAGAAAATGGAGATCTGGTTAAATTGTATTCTTTTTTCTTTTAAAAAAATATATTTATTTTTATAAGGAGGGAGGGAGAGGGGCGGGGAGAGGAGGGGAGGGGAGGGGAGGGGAGGAGAGGAGGGAAGAAGAGCAGCACATCGATCTGCTGCCTCCTGCAATCCTCCTACCAAGGATGGAGCCCCAAACCCAGGCACATGCCCTGACTGAGAATCAAACTGGCAATCTTCTGGTGCACGACACTATGCCCAACCAATGGAGCAATACCAGCCAGGGCAAATATAATAATCTTTTAGGTATGAAGTGGGGATCTAGTTTTAAGCACTGCTTCTTTGTTCCTTAAGTTTTTTCTTTTGTTAAGATAACAGTTAGCTCTTGTATTTTTTCCCTCTGGATTCTTTTGAAAATGTTGTGAAAGTATGCACATAAAGGATTATTTCATTTTAGTTCTGAATAAATGTAAAGATTCTACCTCCATTATAGTTCTGTGATTGTCTTATCTATCTCCACTGCCCTGACTTTAACTTAGGCCTTCATAGCGTTGATAAAACAACCTCCTACCTCCTAACCAATTTCCCTCCTTCAGTTTCACATACGTCACATATACTCAGCTCTTAATCATTTCTACCTTTCCTGTCCAAAATAAGAAATTTAATTCTTGTCCTGCTCTTAACCTTCCCTGAAGCATCAACTTGATAGAACCCAGGCTTTTTCTCAAGCTTTCTAGCTCTTTCACCCTTAAATACATATAGTTAAGCAATAAATTTAAAAGTTAATATTTAGTTAGGGCCGGTTAGGGATTTCTAATAAGGTTATAGTATAACTAGAAGCCTGGGGTGGTCCTTCAGCCTGGTCTGCACCCTCTCGCAGTCCAGGACCCCTCAGGGGATGTCCACCTGCTGGCCTAGGCCCGCTCCCTGGGGGACCGGACCTAAGCTGGCAGTCAGACATCACTCTGGCAGCCCCAGATCCTTCGGGGGATGTCTGACTGTGGCTCAGGAGTGGGCCTAAGCCAGTCAGACATCCTTAGCGCTGCACAGGTGGCGGGAGAGGCCCCCTCTACCACCGCTGCGCACGCAGCCATCAGCCTGGCTTGTGACTGAACAGAGCTCCCCTGTGGGAGCTCCTGCATTGTGCATCTGCCCCCTGGTGGTCAGCGCGCATTATAATGACCGAACGTTCTGCCTTTAGTGTCAATTTGTATATTACCCTTCTATTATATTGGATTGATATGAGTCTCCCCCCTCCCCACCATTTTGAGTGCTCAATTCACTTAATTTTTTGTCTATGTTATTTAAGAAAAGTATTCCCTCTTTATCCCAGAGTAAATAAACCTATGAAATCAGTTAGGTAACACAGATATCTGTATATTCTTTCAGATTAATGAAATTCCTAAGTGATATAACTGTTTAGTTAAAGGAAGTAAATTAGAATCCCAAGGGCCTGGTCTCTTTCAATTGGGTTATGACAGTTTAATATGTTAGCTTATACCTCATTTTGAAGGGAGCATGCAGTCATGCTGAATTTTTGGGTCTAATCAACTGGTCTCCTAATTGGATCCCGGAGAAGCCACAGTCATTTCTGCCTCCTGCTGTTGTCTCTCCGCCCCCACCCCTGCTCCCCTCC